TCTGACCCGATAGTTGATACTGTCATAGTTATATAAAATCATTTATTGATTTTAGATAATTGTGACATGAATGCTATGTCACCTTTTTACTAAATCATTTGTTTAATGTCTTAATCAACTGTTGCACCCTGTGCTTCTTCTTAAGACTGATATTTTTCTTAGTTGTTAATCAAACCTCCCCATTTTAGATAAATCAAATCCCTCGTTTCGCCATCTGAAACTAGTTTTTATAAACTGGACTTTTTGAAATAACTTTACAAGCTATCTCTGTGGGAACGATATTTGGTATTTTACCATTATTACTTGTTACGAGACGACAGTAGTTCGAGGTGTATACTTGCGCCGAGTTCTATTTTTGTGTTGAAATATAAGGTTGAATAAACCGACGAGCAGTTAGTCACTGATGACTTGATTGTTAAAAACAACACTCTTACATTACAAAATAAGCGCTTACTCGAAAAACTCAAAAATCTTGAGGAAAAGCTGTATAGGATAGGTCAAACGGACCAAACTAATTTTCGAAGCAAACTAACTGATTCTAGATTTTTCAATCCAAGAGAATGTTTGGGTTATGAAAATCCGAATGTTTGAAGAAAGCTCTTTACTATACTCCAACACTTTTTAAATTTGAATATCTTGACCTTGATCCTGATTGGGATTTGCATCAATTTGATGTAAACAACGCATTCTTGCATGGAGAACTTGAGGAGATCTATATGGATGTTCCACCTCGTTATGGAAAAGGAGCAAAACCCAATACGACGTGTAAGTTAAAGAAGGCACTATACGGCTTAAAACAATCTCCTCGAGCATGGTTTGGGAGATTTACCACGACTATGTTAACTTTGGGATATAAACAAAGTCAAGGGGATCACACTCTTCATCAAACACTCAAAAACAAGAAAAATAATAGTGCTACTGGTTTATGTGGATGATATCATTGTAACAGGAGATGATAAAGAAAAGCAACAAGCCCTGAGCCTATGTCTAGCCAAAGAATTTAAGATCAAGACATTAGGAAGACTGAAGTATTTCTATGGAAGTTGCTCATTCAAGAAAGGGAATTTTTGTATTCCAACAAAAGTATGTTATAGATTTGTTTATGGAAACATGTCAAGGTGCATGCAAACCTGCTAGTACTCCTATAGACCCGAATCATAGACCAGGAAATGCAAAAGAAGATTCAATTGTAAACAAAGAAATGTATCAACGGCTTGTGGGGAAACTTATATATTTGTCTCATACCAGGCATAGTTTATGCTGTAAGCATGGTCAGTCAGTTCTTGTATAACCCAAAGGAAACCTATTTACGAGCCGTACACCGAATTTTACAGTATCTCAAACGAACACCGCGGAAGGGAATCATGTTTGAAAGAAATAACCGTATAACTCTTGAAGCATACACTGATGCAAGCTATGCTACGTCATTAGTTGACAGTAGATTGATAACAGGGTATTGCATTTTTCTCGAAGGAAATCTTTTGACATGGAGAAGCAAGAAGCAAAGCATGGTAGCACGATCTAATGCTGAAGCTGAATTTCGGGCGATGGCACATGGTATATGCAAACTATTGTGGCTAAAAATCATCCTAAAAGATCTAAGGATCAATTGGGAGGGACCAATGAAGCTCTATTGTGACAATAAGTCAGCAATGAACATAGCTCACAATCCAGTTCGGCATGATTGGACAAAGCATGTTGAAGTTGACAGACATTTTGTCAAGGAGAAGCTAGACATTGGCTTAATCTGTATTCCATTCGTGCCTACTCATGAACAACTAGTAGATGTTTTCACCAAAGGACTAAGTAGACTGATGTTCGAGAGAATTTTATCCAAGCTGGGAATGGAAAACTTCCACTGTTGCGAGATTTATACAAAGATAAAATCTCTCAGATTGTATGCAAATGGAGACCCATGTAAGTAAACACGTATCAACCCACTATCGTCTTTTACAAGTAATAAAAACGGTAAGATACCGAATATCAATCCACAGGGGAAATGTGTTAAATTTTTTAGATAAAGTCCATAAAAACATTAGATTTCAGATGGCGAGTTCGAAGAATTGTTTTTAGTTTGGTAACTTTAAGACTAAATGATGCAAATAATTAATTTAAAAGAAAGCAAGGGTGTAGGGATCAGTTAAGATTTTTGGACAAATAAATTAGATAGAACTTTATAGATAATAACTTATCTTTAACCAACCATTAACTTGTGTAAGGTACTCTCTCGAGGTTGAGAAGAACACTTATCTAATGACCGATTCTAATGTTTCCAAAGTAAAATCAATCCTAGCAATGACACAATCTATCCTTTGTATAAGCTGTACGAAATGAAAACAAGTCTCCTTGATTCTAAGTAACTCTCTCGAGTATACTTCCGTATTATTCAAGTTGATGTGTTCGGGATGACTTATCTCTAAGTCCATCAAAGTGATCAAACTGTTAACATTTTCCTGCAAAATTCAACTTGTCAAGAGATGTAATTTTTATCAATATAACCTTGAATAAATGGTTGGAAAGATTTGTTAATCTTTAACAAATTTCTATCATCAAAATTGATCTTTTATATATAACGTTACCCTACACCCAAGCTAATGTTGTCGCCTATCATTGCTCGGGATCCTTGCATATCTATTTTAAAAACGAGAAAAGAAATTTGCATAGAAAGAAAGTTTTACGACAACTAAAAATTAAAATAATCGTAAACTAAAGACTACGATGAATTAAAATAAACTACGAAAGTAAATTACGAGAAATATAAAACAAATTACGACGATTAATAAACATGGTAATAGTAGTCTAAACGAAATTATGACAACTAATTAAAAGCTTATAAATAACTAAGGGGTTGTTTGGCAGTTGCTGAATGGTTTGGTGCAGAATGGTTAAGTGGTCAGAATGGTTAAGTGCTGAATGAAATAATGTTGTTTGGTAACCGTTCTCTGAATGACAACAAATTACCATTTTAACCCCACCAACAAAATTGCACAAAGACCGCCGATAACAGATCCCACAACCACCCCAGTGGAGGAACTTCTGCCACCACCAGCGCCATGTCTAACACCAGGCGAGTCCGGTGAACCATTAGAAGGTGAAACCAGTGTTAAACTGGG